AAATATTACGATGTACAAAGTGTGGACCAAATCGAGTACTTCCTTCGAGAGTTATCGTGCGCACCAGCCAGCCAGACAGACAGACAGACGGACGGACGAACATCGCTAGATCGACTCCAAATGTTCTGAAACGGATTTGGTCCAAAGAGACCTAGGGTCTAAAACCGTTATTTCGACTAGGCACGTTTTGACCGTATCAAATGATATATACCCTCTGTAGCCATATGGCTAAGGGTATAAAAAGTCCTAATATGTCCTTGAAACAATATTCTTTAAAATTCCTGGTAAAATATATATTTGTGAAAAATCCACGTTTTTTGGTCTCATAGTCATCAGAAAATTATCCTTAAGAAACACATTTATTGGTCTGATGATCCTTGAAATTTTATTCCAAAAAATCCATGTTTGAAAGCCCATTCATTTGTCTTTAACAAAATACACTGAAAAAATCCAAGCTTGTTGCTGTGATGATCTTTAAAAAATATAATTAAACATTCATTTTCTTGCCGTTATGGTCCTTTAAAAGTATTATTTAACAAGTAAGCAAAGGCTATAGCCGTGCGGGGCCGACCATGTGATACCCTACAACACTACTATATGTTAGAAGTAGAAGAAGAAGACGTTCGCCTTTGGTGTATTTCGGATATTGCCTGTAAGTAATGCTGGTATTTTTTTCACACAAAAGTGGTACTCGTTATCTTAAAATCTAACTTTATGCGAGATTTCGTGTACTTTGGTTTATACTTGTGACCTTTATAACGGCTGCAAAATCAGGAACATTTTTAGTTGTTGGTCCATTTCAACCCCTAATGTATTGCGGACATCTTTGAAAACAATAGGCCTAGTCTTCTGAGCCCAACCCTACTCTTGTGAGAATCGGACGATATTTGCATTACTTATATAATATCCCCAACCTGTGTTGTAAGATGAAAAAATATTGCAAAATATTACAAGTGAAATTTCAAAAAGTAGCACGCGATAAAAAATATGAAAAAATACAAAAATATAATAACACCATTATTGACACATTTTTATGCGAGTTTTTTAGATTTTATTCTCTTATGCCAATAGGGCATTCAGAATTGACAAAATTTGTCAAAATCGGTCCAGCTCGGCGAGGTAGAAAGATCCATATTCACTTTCCTATGTGGGAAACCAATATTTCGTTGTGTTACATAATTTTTGGCCCAATCCAACTCATAATATCCCCAACACATAGTGTTGTAGGGTAAAAAAATTCACTTATGTTGGTTTCAAGTTTCATTTATTTAATAATTTGGATTATAAACTTCCTTGAGAGAACACAGACCAGGATAAAGGGGATTAGTACCAGTTCTACATTTTGAACCAGGTTTACCCGCCGAATAGATGGGTATATCATAGGCATAAAGTGTGGAATAGTTACAGGCGAAATTATAAATATACAAATATGGATACTCTGGGCGGGTGTAGCGCAGCAGGGAACAGCCCACATGGGTATTGCGGTCCAATACGAGTCCGGCAAAGTGGCCATATTTATCTCTAAAATAAATAAAATAATAAAAATGAAAGTTAGATGATATACAAATTAAATAATGCAAATATACAAAATAATACAATCATACTCACAAATCTCCCACCACCTTAAATTCCGTAATAATATTGCTACCTATTGTTTTGTGCTCGCGAAACCACAGCCACATATCGGTCAATATAATTTCTGTTATATTCTGATAAATATTTCGAAATCTGGATATTCCAACTAGATTTTGTCCGGAATTCCGAAAACGATACGTATTACGACACTCATCATGTTCCACATGACAGGTGCGTACATTTAAGTCGGCTACATATTCCAATTCTTCATCCCATTGTAGGGTGGCCATGCGTGCGGCTGGATAATATCCAGGCAATAGACCAAGTGCGACAAAATTTCTGCGTTTATTGTGTTCATGGACGATAAAATCACGATATGGTTCCAAATCAATAATTTCCGCATCGTGGCCACATCTTTCATGGAAAGTCTAAGGAATTAATATTTAATAATAAAATATTAGTGTCATGGGGATTTTGAAAATTTCCCGGGATCATGCTTTTTGTTATTTGTTTAAAATTTGACATTTCGTAAATGAGAACCAAATTAAGGCTAGTCTACGCATCACGTAAAGGTCCGATTATTTATGTTTTTTTTTATTTTAGAGTGATATGTTAAGTGACTTTTTCATATTTTGTAATTTATTGCATACTTTAAGGAGCTCCCAACAATGTTTTAAATTAAAATATACTATGAATGACTATAAAACACTTGTATTTCAATTATTCTATATTTTTTGTTTATTTATATTAATTAATACTACACTACAAGGCGTTTCTTTTTAGATTTTTAGAAAAGTAAATCTGCGATGTGTCTGAAAGTATGCTATAAAAATACATATGACTCTAACATCATATGCAATCGAGCCATAAGGGTGGTGTTTTTGAACATGAATTTAGTTCTTTTATACCCTTCACCATACTTTGTATGGATGGTATATTAAGTTCGTCATTCCGTTTGTAACTCGCCGAAATAATAATTTTAGACCAAACAAAGTATATACATTCTTGATCAGCATAAAACGATTTAGCCCTGCCGTCTGTTGTAATTACACTAGAGTCATAACGAATAAAGATAGGAAGCTAAAATTTTGTCTGCAGGCAGTTCAAGTTTGAAAATGGGCTATATCGGTCCACAATATCACATATATGTGTATAACGGTACCTCCGATATTCGGTATATTGATGATTGTAGCCAAATTTTTTAATGAAATTGTCTGAAAAACCGAACGAGGAGTTCCTCCTGAGTACTTTACCCCCTGGAAGAGTATTGTCTATATAGGTCCACGATACCGTATATCCACCATATAATGATACTTCCCTATATTCGGTATTTTGGTGATTTTAGCTAAATTTTTTAATGGAATTCTCAGAAAATCCACACAAAAAGTTTTTTTTGGCGCTTTACGCCCTAGATAAGAATCGCCTATAGGGGTCCACGATATCATATAGCCCCCATACAACGGTAACCGGCGATATTCGGTATTTTGATGATTTTAGGGACATTATTCATCGGAGTTGTTTCAAATTTTGTATTTAGAGTTCGTAATGAGTACTACAGCCTGTGACAAAAAATTGTCTATGCAGGTCCAAATTCCCGCATAGCCCCTATGTATCGGTACCTCCCTATATTCGGTATTTTAACGATTTGAGGTACAATATTCTCCGGAATTGTTTCAAAATTCTTATTTGAAGTTCCTAATGGATACTACAGCTTGTGACAGAAAATTGTCTATGCTGGCCCAGATCTTCATATAGGCCCCATACATCGGTACCTCCCTATATTCCGCATACTGATGATTTTACCGACATTCTTCACCAGAGTTATTTGAAATTTCGTATTTAGAGTTCTTAATGAATACTACAGTCTATGAGGGAAATTGTCTATGCAGGTCCACTTTCTCGTATAGCCCCCATGTATCGGTACCTCCACATATTCGGTATTTTGACGGTTTTAGGTACTATATTCACCGGAATTGTTTCAAAATTCTTATTTGAAGTTCCTAATGGATACTACAGCTTGTGACAGAAAATTGTCTATGCAGGCCCAGATCTTCATATAGGCCCCATACATCTGTACCTCCCAATATTCCGCATATTGATGATTTTACCGACATTATTCACCGAAATTGTTTTAAATTTCGTATTTTAAGTTCATAATGGGTACTACAGTCTACGACAGAAAATTGTCTAAGCAGGTTCACGTTCTCGTATAGCCTCCATATATCGGTACCTCCCGATATTCGGTATTTTGATGATTTTAGGGACATTCTTCACCGGAGTTGTTTGAAATTTCGTATTTAGAGTTTCTAATGAGTACTACAGTCTATGAGGGAAAATTGTCTATGCAGGTTCACTTTCTCGTGTAGCCCCCATGTATCGGTACCTATCTATATTCGGTATTTTGACGGCTTTAGGTACTATATTCACCGGAATTGTTTCAAATTTCTTCTTTGAAGCTCCTAATAGGTAGTACAGCCTGTGGCATGAAATTGTCTATGCAGGTCCAGGTCTTCGTATAGGCCCCATATATCGCTACCTCCCTATTTTCGCTATTTTGACGATTTTAGGTAAAATATTCACCGAAATTGTTTGACATTTTGTATTTGAAGTTGTAGTACTCATTACAGCCTGTGACCAAAAATCGTCTATGTAGGTTCACGTTTCGTATATATATAATTGGTATTTTGACGATTTTAGGCACAATATTCATCGAAATTTTTTTAAACTTTCGTATTTGAAGTTCCTAATAAGTATTACAGTCTGTGACATAAAGTTGTCTATGCAGGCCCAGGTCTTCGTATATACCCCAATATAACGGTAATATTCGGTATTTTTAAGATTTTAAAAGCATTTTTAACCGATTTTTTTTCTTTGAAAGTTTCCAAATTTGTTCCAAATGGTGGAGTTCGGCCGGGCCGAACTTACTGCTTTTTTACTTGTTATGACATACTTCTAGGCGTTTCCCTCAATTTTAGAAATAATTATTATGTAATTTTACATATGATATCGTTAAAATCGTAGTGTTTCTTCTTAAATTTAAAATTTGTTGGGAGCGCCTAAAAATAGGCTATTAAATGCTAAATATGACACGTGTAAAATTCACTTTCTATATGACTCCAATATGATGTAAAAAGGAATCTCAACTAAATTCATTTTTTTTTTCAAAATCTTGTTACACATTTTTTAAAAATTAATTCCAATCAACTTCTTACCCCATCATTGTTGCAGGCTATATGTTGCACACCATCCGAACATAAAATCGGATCACACCAATCCAAAGAAAGATCCATATTCACTTTCCTATGTGGGAAACCAATATTTCGTTGTGTTACATAATTTTTGGCCCAATCCAACTCATAATATCCCCAACACATAGTGTTGTAGGGTAAAAAAATTCACTTATGTTGGTTTCAAGTTTCATTTATTTAATAATTTGGATTATAAACTTCCTTGAGAGAACACAGACCAGGATAAAGGGGATTAGTACCAGTTCTACATTTTGAACCAGGTTTACCCGCCGAATAGATGGGTATATCATAGGCATAAAGTGTGGAATAGTTACAGGCGAAATTATAAATATACAAATATGGATACTCTGGGCGGGTGTAGCGCAGCAGGGAACAGCCCACATGGGTATTGCGGTCCAATACGAGTCCGGCAAAGTGGCCATATTTATCTCTAAAATAAATAAAATAATAAAAATGAAAGTTAGATGATATACAAATTAAATAATGCAAATATACAAAATAATACAATCATACTCACAAATCTCCCACCACCTTAAATTCCGTAATAATATTGCTACCTATTGTTTTGTGCTCGCGAAACCACAGCCACATATCGGTCAATATAATTTCTGTTATATTCTGATAAATATTTCGAAATCTGGATATTCCAACTAGATTTTGTCCGGAATTCCGAAAACGATACGTATTACGACACTCATCATGTTCCACATGACAGGTGCGTACATTTAAGTCGGCTACATATTCCAATTCTTCATCCCATTGTAGGGTGGCCATGCGTGCGGCTGGATAATATCCAGGCAATAGACCAAGTGCGACAAAATTTCTGCGTTTATTGTGTTCATGGACGATAAAATCACGATATGGTTCCAAATCAATAATTTCCGCATCGTGGCCACATCTTTCATGGAAAGTCTAAGGAATTAATATTTAATAATAAAATATTAGTGTCATGGGGATTTTGAAAATTTCCCGGGATCATGCTTTTTGTTATTTGTTTAAAATTTGACATTTCGTAAATGAGAACCAAATTAAGGCTAGTCTACGCATCACGTAAAGGTCCGATTATTTATGTTTTTTTTTATTTTAGAGTGATATGTTAAGTGACTTTTTCATATTTTGTAATTTATTGCATACTTTAAGGAGCTCCCAACAATGTTTTAAATTAAAATATACTATGAATGACTATAAAACACTTGTATTTCAATTATTCTATATTTTTTGTTTATTTATATTAATTAATACTACACTACAAGGCGTTTCTTTTTAGATTTTTAGAAAAGTAAATCTGCGATGTGTCTGAAAGTATGCTATAAAAATACATATGACTCTAACATCATATGCAATCGAGCCATAAGGGTGGTGTTTTTGAACATGAATTTAGTTCTTTTATACCCTTCACCATACTTTGTATGGATGGTATATTAAGTTCGTCATTCCGTTTGTAACTCGCCGAAATAATAATTTTAGACCAAACAAAGTATATACATTCTTGATCAGCATAAAACGATTTAGCCCTGCCGTCTGTTGTAATTACACTAGAGTCATAACGAATAAAGATAGGAAGCTAAAATTTTGTCTGCAGGCAGTTCAAGTTTGAAAATGGGCTATATCGGTCCACAATATCACATATATGTGTATAACGGTACCTCCGATATTCGGTATATTGATGATTGTAGCCAAATTTTTTAATGAAATTGTCTGAAAAACCGAACGAGGAGTTCCTCCTGAGTACTTTACCCCCTGGAAGAGTATTGTCTATATAGGTCCACGATACCGTATATCCACCATATAATGATACTTCCCTATATTCGGTATTTTGGTGATTTTAGCTAAATTTTTTAATGGAATTCTCAGAAAATCCACACAAAAAGTTTTTTTTGGCGCTTTACGCCCTAGATAAGAATCGCCTATAGGGGTCCACGATATCATATAGCCCCCATACAACGGTAACCGGCGATATTCGGTATTTTGATGATTTTAGGGACATTATTCATCGGAGTTGTTTCAAATTTTGTATTTAGAGTTCGTAATGAGTACTACAGCCTGTGACAAAAAATTGTCTATGCAGGTCCAAATTCCCGCATAGCCCCTATGTATCGGTACCTCCCTATATTCGGTATTTTAACGATTTGAGGTACAATATTCTCCGGAATTGTTTCAAAATTCTTATTTGAAGTTCCTAATGGATACTACAGCTTGTGACAGAAAATTGTCTATGCTGGCCCAGATCTTCATATAGGCCCCATACATCGGTACCTCCCTATATTCCGCATACTGATGATTTTACCGACATTCTTCACCAGAGTTATTTGAAATTTCGTATTTAGAGTTCTTAATGAATACTACAGTCTATGAGGGAAATTGTCTATGCAGGTCCACTTTCTCGTATAGCCCCCATGTATCGGTACCTCCACATATTCGGTATTTTGACGGTTTTAGGTACTATATTCACCGGAATTGTTTCAAAATTCTTATTTGAAGTTCCTAATGGATACTACAGCTTGTGACAGAAAATTGTCTATGCAGGCCCAGATCTTCATATAGGCCCCATACATCTGTACCTCCCAATATTCCGCATATTGATGATTTTACCGACATTATTCACCGAAATTGTTTTAAATTTCGTATTTTAAGTTCATAATGGGTACTACAGTCTACGACAGAAAATTGTCTAAGCAGGTTCACGTTCTCGTATAGCCTCCATATATCGGTACCTCCCGATATTCGGTATTTTGATGATTTTAGGGACATTCTTCACCGGAGTTGTTTGAAATTTCGTATTTAGAGTTTCTAATGAGTACTACAGTCTATGAGGGAAAATTGTCTATGCAGGTTCACTTTCTCGTGTAGCCCCCATGTATCGGTACCTATCTATATTCGGTATTTTGACGGCTTTAGGTACTATATTCACCGGAATTGTTTCAAATTTCTTCTTTGAAGCTCCTAATAGGTAGTACAGCCTGTGGCATGAAATTGTCTATGCAGGTCCAGGTCTTCGTATAGGCCCCATATATCGCTACCTCCCTATTTTCGCTATTTTGACGATTTTAGGTAAAATATTCACCGAAATTGTTTGACATTTTGTATTTGAAGTTGTAGTACTCATTACAGCCTGTGACCAAAAATCGTCTATGTAGGTTCACGTTTCGTATATATATAATTGGTATTTTGACGATTTTAGGCACAATATTCATCGAAATTTTTTTAAACTTTCGTATTTGAAGTTCCTAATAAGTATTACAGTCTGTGACATAAAGTTGTCTATGCAGGCCCAGGTCTTCGTATATACCCCAATATAACGGTAATATTCGGTATTTTTAAGATTTTAAAAGCATTTTTAACCGATTTTTTTTCTTTGAAAGTTTCCAAATTTGTTCCAAATGGTGGAGTTCGGCCGGGCCGAACTTACTGCTTTTTTACTTGTTATGACATACTTCTAGGCGTTTCCCTCAATTTTAGAAATAATTATTATGTAATTTTACATATGATATCGTTAAAATCGTAGTGTTTCTTCTTAAATTTAAAATTTGTTGGGAGCGCCTAAAAATAGGCTATTAAATGCTAAATATGACACGTGTAAAATTCACTTTCTATATGACTCCAATATGATGTAAAAAGGAATCTCAACTAAATTCATTTTTTTTTTCAAAATCTTGTTACACATTTTTTAAAAATTAATTCCAATCAACTTCTTACCCCATCATTGTTGCAGGCTATATGTTGCACACCATCCGAACATAAAATCGGATCACACCAATCCAAAGAATCGACACATCTGGCAATCGCACCGTATAGTAATGAACATATTATAATCTTATGCATTTCGAACGTGACTTAACAAAAAATCCACTGTATATTTCGTGCACGTGTTGGAAAATTCTGCTGGTGGCCAAGAATTTTTAATGTTAATAAAATCACATTCCAGAAATCGTATTATATTTATACATAAAAAGTGCACTCAGGATATTGAATAAAAAAACGAATGTTTTTTTTTTGTTCCTAAAATAAGACAATGAAAACAATACAAATCATTAGAAGGCTATCAAGAAGCTTTAATTGGCAATTTGTGGTCAAAATTATAAGGCAAATTAAATGTAATCCTTTGTTTATGTCTGTCAAACAAAAAGATGGAAGATGCAGCAGTGCAGTTTTGATGGAATTTATGTGAGAGTAAAGTTGTGTGTGGAGATCTCTATTGATTTAACTGGAAACAAAAGTACAAAAAATTAGGCCATGAAGAAAATTTTTAAAAAATCTATGATTTCATGTCGGCAAGTCATTGGAAATTCAAAATTTATTAGCAAAAAATCAATGAAGTTTCCACGATAATCTGTGAAAAAATTTTGTGAAAAAATGGTATTCATTTTTTGGCAGGAAGTTCCTAAAAAAACTTTTCAACAACCCATGATGAGGATGTTTCTATGAAAAAAAATTGTTTGACTATTAAAATTAAGTCCTTGAAAATCCATGATTTCTTAAAATAAATATTTTAAAACCATCTATTTAACAAAAAAAAAAAAAAAAAAATTGTTTAAATCTACAATTTTTTGCCAGGGAGCCCATGGAAATCTACGATTTCTTAAAAAATCACCATTTTTTATTTTTTTAAAGCTTGAAGAACATTTTTAAAAAATCTATGATTTTTACCCAGCAAGTCATGAAATTTCCACGATAACCTGTGAACATTTTTGTGAAAAAATGGTATCCATTTTTTTTGGCAGGAAGTTCCTAAAAAAACTTTTCAGCAATCCACGATGAGGAAGTTCTTATGAAAAAAAAAATTTGTTTGACTTTTACAATTAAGTCCTTGAAAATCCATGATTTCTTAAAAAATATATATTTTAAAACCATCCATTTAACTTAAAAAATATTTTTTTAATCTACGAATTTTAACCAGTAAGCCCATGAAAAAAAAACTCTAAATTAATAACCCAAAAATCCATAAAATTTCCACGATAATCTGTGAAAAATTTTGTGAAAAAATGGTATCTATTTTTAGGCAGGAAGTCCCTAAAACAACTTTTCAACAATCCAGGATGAGGAAGTTCCTATGAAAAAAAAAATTGTTTGACTTTTACATTTAAGCCGTTGAAAATTCATGATTTCTTAAAAAAAAATATTTTAAAACCGTCCATTTAACATAAAAAATATCTTTTTAAATCTACGATTTATTACCAGGAAGCCCATATCCACGATTTCTTAGAAAATCACCATTTTTTATTTTTTTAGAAGGGAAAAACACTTTCAAAAATCTCAATGACCTTGCAGAAACTATGAATTTTCACATGTAGAACTTACACAACTTTCGCGGGAATTCAACGATTTTTTATACCAGGAATTTCTGGAAAAAATATTTAACAAGTTAAAAAAATTTATCATCTATCTAACTTTCCCTTATTTAGGACATCCCATAAAGATTGGTCCTACATATCACATCTTTTTGATATTTCCAACCTGAGCTAATTATGCCCTATATACATACCATTTGATATGACCAAAATGTGCCTCAGGGGTTTTAGACCCTAGATATCTGTGGTCCAAACTTAATCCATCGTAATATTATTATCAAACTTAGATCGAGTTGGGAAATGGACACCATAGGTCCACTCCTTCTGGTACCTTCCCCACAAAAAGTCAAAAAGGATCACAGAAAATAATTTACCTCTCAGAACAAGAAAGTACCATCCAATTTTGTTCAAATTTAACTAATCTTTTTTATTTTCATCAGGGCAAATTTAGATACGATAATGTACAATACAGGGTGAGATAAAAAATGCAACAAAGTCAGATGCCATAATTTTTACATTTTTTCTAAATTTTATTGAATTAAAGCAAAAAATGTCAGAAATATCATCACATTTTAGAATAAGTTTAGATTTGTTCAATTGGTCACCTTTGACACGAATTATGGCCTTCAAACGGACACGCTGCCCGAAGCGCTTGCTTGAGGTGATCGACACTTTGGAATTTTTTAGTGCCAAAATTGTCTTCTAAAATACTCTAGACACAATTGTCCTACGGATTGGTATCCGGAGACTGGTGGCTATTGTGCTCTGCAAATGAAGGGAGGAACCTCATTTTTTAACCATTCTTGGGAGGCGCGTGCTGAGTGCGATGGTGCTGAGTCTTGTTGAAATTTCCAATGTCTGCGGCCAAAATGTTTGCGTGCGATAATATTCGGCATTTATTTTGAAGCCAAGGTCGATTAATACAAGCGGAGAGCGAGCATTGGCTGTTATGGCGGTCCACATCATCATTATGACCGGCGCTTGAATTTTGGTGGCCAAACGAAGGAGCACATTTTAAGCTGACCTCTTTGGCAAGTAAACACGATCATTTCGTTTGTCTACAAACTGCTGTCCAACAAATGTTTTCTCAGCGGAGAAAACCAAATTCGGCAGTTCACCACTTTCGGCCAAGCGAAGCAACTCTCTAGCTCTTTTGAGTCTATTTTCTTTCTGTTGCGGTGTAAGTTTTTGCACTTTTTGGAATTTCAATGGCTTTACCCCGAGCTCATTTTTCAATATTTGCCGAATGGAATATTGCGATATGTTCAGCTCACGAGCCTTTTTCCGGTCACTGCGACGCGGGTTTCGATCAAGTCGCTTCTTTACTTTTCGAACCATTTCTGCTGATATTGCTGTTTTCTTCCGTCCACTTCCTTGACGTCGAGCTACGCTACAAGTATCACGGTAACCAGTAATGGTACGGGACACAAAAGATTTATTCACATTTAAATGCTGGAGTGCTCTAACGATAACCACTTGAGGTTTTCCGACCAAATATAAAGAAATCACACTATCCCGCTTGAATTCCCTCACGAACAATTTTTTTTTCCGGAAAATTCTCACCAAAATTCTTTTGTACGCCTGTAAACAATATAATGAGGTGTCACTGGAATAATTTTAAAAGCTGTCGGACGAGTGGCTTAGAAATGACAGCAGTCTGTAGTTGGTTTCAGTTTTTTTCATTTCACCCTGTATATTTCATCGTCACAACAGATCTTGTGTTAAAAGAAGTGATTGGATGTGTGAAATATGAAGGGATCTGGATACGTATTTCGGATTACATGATCGTTTTGGTTACTCAAAACTTTGATCCCTTGTGGGGGAGGCATCAGAAGGTGTGAACCGACATATCCCATCTTCACACCAGACCTTGGGTTAATAAAAATATTATTATCGAACTTTTATAAGTTTTTAAGAACATTTTGTTTTAACTTCGCGCTTCTCATTCCCATTATTATTTTTCTAGAACCTCCAACACAAATGGTAAAAATTAAGAAAAAATAGTCCCCGGTTTTCATATCTTCAAAAATATAGGTTTGATCGTTCTATGAGGCTCATTTCTTCTGCAATCTTCTGTACTGAGACATATATTTAATGCCATTAAGAACACTGATTTTTTCCAATTTCTGCGACTAAAGTCGGCTGATTTTTGTTATATTTATAAAAATATCCGCTCAAAATCAAAAACAACTTCAAACTCGTTTTTCCCTTTTGAACAACTCCTCTCGTTTTTAATTTATTTATTCCGCCCACTCATTTTTTTCGTCAATTAACAAAATTTAAGGTAGGTTAGTGTGTTCAAGTCCATATGGAGTTTGAATGATTTGTTTCGGATGCGTTTGAAGGTGTCTGAAATGCATCTCAGCTGTCTGTTCGAATGCAGGTGAAGTGATGACAAATCGAGCTAAAAATACAACTCATAAAGTACAGTTTTTTTTTGTGATTTAGAGGTGCTGTTTTGAGAATTTTTATTGACGGGTAACATATATGAATCACTTTTATTAATTGTAATAATATTACATCCATATCATTTGGAGTTTCATTGAATTTTGTTTTCACAACTCACAAAAAAAAAAAAAAAAAAAAAAAAAAAAAAATTACAAAAATGGAGGGAAAATATTTGAAGATAAAGTTTATTCATTGTTATCAGGGGGTTTCAGAACTTCAATCAATGAAATATAATTTTGGATTAAAAAACAAAAAAAGTTATGAAAAATATATTTTTTTATACCCTCAGCCATATGGCTAGAGAGGGTATATTATATCATTTGATACGACCAAAACGTGTCTCATCGAAATAACGATGAGGCATTTGGAGTCGATCTAGCGATGTCCGTCCGTCTGTCTGGCTGGTGCGCACTATTACTCTCGAATGGAGTATTCGATTTGGTCCAAATTTGGTACAGAGATTGGCAATGTTGGTCCACTTCTTCTGGTAAATCAAACACAAAAGTTCGAAATTACAAGAAAAAAAGAAAAAAATATTTTACCAGAAAGCCAGAAAGAGAAAATATAATCCGATTATGCTCCAGCTGCAAATCCTAAAATTTGCATCAGTGCTGGGCGGGATAATGGATATCGGTCCCCACCAAGGGTCAAAATTTTCCATAAATATAACCGTTATAAAATGTGATTATTTCTACTAACACAAGATCTGCTGTGAAGATGGGATATACAGGCTGAGATGAAAAAACTGCAGACTGCTGCCATTTCGAAGCCACTCGTCCGACATCTTTTAAAATTATTCCAGTGACAGCTCATTATATTGTTTACAAGCTTATAAAAGCATTTGGTTGGAAATTTTCCAGAAAAAAAGTTATTCGTGATGGAATTCAAGCGTGATAGTGTGATTTCTTTATATTTGGCTGGAAAACCACAGGTGCCTATCGTAAGAGCAATCCAGCATTTAAATGTGAATGAATCTTTTGCGTCTCGTTCCATCGCTTGTTACCGTGATCGTGTTTTTTTGCCAAAGAGGTCAGTCGGTAATGTGCACCTTCGGTTGGCCACCAGAACTAAAGCACCGGCCATGGTAATGGTGTGGGCCGCCATAACAGCCGATGGTTGCTCTCCGCTCGTATTAATCGACCATGGCATCAGAATAAATGCCGAATATTATCGCGAAAATTTTCTGACGGGTGTATTAAAGTCTTGGGCCGCAGACCTTGTATATTCCAACAGGATTCAGCATCATCGCACTCAGCACGCGCATCCCAAGAATGGTTACAAAATTAGGTTCCTCGCTTCATTTCAGCGCACAATGACCACCAAAATCTCCGGATACCAATCCATTGGTGTATTGTGTCTGGAGTATTTTAGAAAGCAAGGTTGGCACTACAAAATAGCAAAATGTTAAGCAAGCCCTTCGCCGGGAATGGGCCAAAATACCCAAAGGTGACCAATTCGAACAAATCTAAAATTATTCTGACATATTTTGCTTTCATTCAATAAAATTAAAAAAAAAAAAACGAATAAAAAAGTATTGGTCGGTTTTGCCGACAGATGTATACCCTCAGCCAATGTTCAAATGTTTAACCCCTTATGCAGTAGGTTCCGAAGGGATTGTCCAATATTGGTCATTTCGTATCGGACCGATATAACCCATCCTAACACCTGGTCTTGGGGTTATAAGAATATTCGGATGTGTGAAATTTTAAGACAATCGGATTCTTAAATCACATTTTATAAAACTTATAATTACTAAAAATTGTTACCCTTTGTGGGGGAGGCACTTGATGGAGTGGACCGATATTATCCATTTTTGCACCTGACCTAGAACTGACGCAGTTATTAGGATTTGTAAAGTTGGAGCAAACCCGGATCTATCTTCTCTATCTGTGCAGAAAAAAATATTTTTTTTTTCAAAATTTCGACCATTTGTGGGGGAGGTACCAGAAGGAGTGGACCGATATATTAAAACTTAACAGCAGGTCTTGGGTTAATTTAAATATTGGGATGTGCAAAATTTAAAGACAATCGGACTCTTACATCACATTTTACGAGAGTTGTAATTATTCAAATTTTTTACCATTTGTGGGGGAGGTACTTGATGGAGTGGACCGATATTGTCCATTTTCACACCAGACCTAGCACTGATGCAAATATTTGGATTTGCCAATTTGAAGCAAAATCGGATTATCCTTTCTCTTTCTGTGCAAAAAAAATATATTTTTTGAAAATTTCGACATTTTGTGGGGGAGGTACCAGAAGAACTGGACCGATGTTGCCCATCTCCGAACTCGATCTAAGTTTGACAAAAATATTACGATGTACCAAGTTTGGACCATATCGGATACTCCCTTCGAGAATTATCGTGCGCACCATTCAGCCAGACAGACAGACGGACAGACATTGCTAGATCGACTCCAAATGTTCTGAAACGGATTTATTCCAAACAGTCCTTGGGTCCAAAACCGTTATTTCTACTAGGCACGTTTTGACCGTATCAAATGATATAGCCATATGGATGGAATATAAAAATGTACAAATTATGGCGTTTGATTTTGTTGCATTTTTTTATCTCACCCTGTATAACTGCGAACCCTTCTGGTACCTCACCAACAAAGGGTCGCAATTTTCAATACAAGTCAGTGAATTTTCTAAACATTTTCGCATATCTCATATATAGTGAAGGATTAAACAAATCATAGATTTTAAAGCCCCTATTTCGATGAGACTCGTTTTAACCATAACAAATAATGTACACCATCTGAGGGCCTTAAAACAAAATTTAAAAAAAGGTGTCTACTAATGTAATGTTCGTGGTCTGAATGTCCTTGGAGGACATATTCTTTAATGAAATATTTCTTAAAAATCCACTTTTATTAGTCTGATGGTCTTTGCAAAACTATTCTCAACAAGTTAAAAAACAGTAAGTGAATACCCTCCACCCTTTGGAACGAATTTGGAAATGTTCAAAAAATAAAATCCATTAAAAATTCTTTTAAAATCTTAAAAATACCGAATATAGCCAATATACTGGGGTCTATAGGTCGTGGACTTACATAGGCATTATTTGTCAAAAGCCATTACCATATTCAAATTCGAAACTTGAAATAAACGGTGAATAATATAGCTATCATCAAAATACCGTATATAGGGAGGTACCGTTATATCGGAGCTATATGAAGACCTGGACCTGCATAGACAATTTTCTGTCACAGGCTGTAGCATCCATTACATACTTCAATTACGACATCACTAACTATTTCGTTGAGTATTGTACCTAAAATTGTCAAAATACCGAATAGAGGGAAGAACTGATATATGGGGCCAATACGAAAACCTGGACCTGCATAGACAATTTTCTGTCACAGACTGTAGTTCCCATTACGAACTCTAAATACGTAATTTGAAACTACTCCGGTGAATAATGACGCTAAAATCATCAAAATACCGAATATCTGGAGGTACCGTTATATGGGGGCTATACGAAGACATGGACCTGCACAGACAATTTCCTGTCATAGGCTGTAGTATCCATTACGAACTTTAAATGCCAAATTTGAAATAATTCCGGTGAATAATGTCGCTAAAATTATCCAAATTACGAATATCGGGAGGTACCGTTATATGGGTAAATATGACAACGTGGACCTACATAGCCCATTTACGAACTTAACCTGCCTACTGCCAAAATAAACATGTGTGCAAAATTTTAGCCTTTTATCTCAATTCGTTCGAAAGATGGTGTGATTACAACAGACAGACGGACAGACATACACACAGACAGACAGACGGACATCGTTAAATCGACTTAGAATTTTACGATGATCAAGAGGAGTTACGAACGGAATGACAAAGTTAATATATCCTCCATTATATGGTGGAGGGTATAAAAACTCTTAAATATCCGCGTTTACAACTCCTGAAGTCCTTGCAAAAAAATCTTTAATAAATCCACGATTTGTCAGATGATCCTGGAAATTAAAAATTAACGTTTCTTAATCCTTAAATCCTAAAAAATATATCTTTAAAAGTCTCGATAAACTGCCTTAACCAATCTCTGATAAAAGATTTTTGATGATTACATTTTAAAAATCAAAAATTTGTTAAAATAATAATTAATTATTTTTTAATAAACAGTTAATGGAAAAAAATCCAAAAATTGAAAGAAAAAAATGAAGGGAACAACATTGCCAATAACACAATTATAATTCAATCAATATTATGTTTAACTTCGAATTAAAGGCATAAGAAATCAAATTTGTCAAATTTTAAGTATATTTGAAATCAATAAATTTCACATTTCACTACATTTAATTTTACAAGTTTATATATCATTTTGTGACTTTTTATACATATAAATGTGTATAAAATGTAAAACATTTTAATTGCAATGAGTAAACATAAATCGCACCTGGTCAAAATTGAATTTAATTATCGTTAAAAAAAATCACTTCAATAAAGCGGAACAAAAACAAACAAATCAGAATTCATTGATTCATTGATTTGTTGATTTTGTTTTTTGTTTTTGTAATTTTTCTGTCCAGATAATTTTTTCTTTCCAAATTTTGGTCAATAATATTTTTTGTGGTTGTTGGTGTGTAATGACAAATGTAAACAATGTTCCCGTTTTTTTGAATGCTGGAAGAAAGGGGATATATAAACAATAACAAAAGAAAATATATTCCAAAAATATTTCAGAATTACATATAAATATTTAAATGCAATGAAATATTTTGTCCACTACCTTCAAATCATTTGGAAACGCCACATCGGCAGAGGAGTTAGAAGAATTTGTAAAATTTCGTGTTTAGAGAAAAAAATATGTTTTTGAAAAAAATCTTTGTGATATTCAGTGTTGTTGTGAGCTATGTTCATTCCCTGGATTGGTGTGATAAAGAACTGTGTCCGAATGGTGGGAAACATATTGCCTGTAAAAATTCGGGGGTGAGTGTTTTTTGGAGAAATGAAAAAATAAAAATTCAAAAATAAATAAAAATATATTGAAAAAGTGACAATTGTCAATATAAATAACTAGCTGAACCCGGTGCGCTTCGCTACCCTTTTGATTTCATATGCATTCAAAATTTTATTTACGAATATATGTTGGTTAAAAAAAAAAACAAATTCAAAAATTAACAAGTAAGCAAAGGCTACAGTCGAGCGGGGCCGACCGTTGAATACCCTACAACACTACAATAAACGATACAGTTTATATAGGCGAGATACTCGAAAGAATTCCACAAGATATTGTGACAAATAATAAAAGAAAACCATCAGGCTTCGTTCTCTAATTTTCGAATAATAGCAACTTAAACTAATTTCCTCATTTCCAATTTATTGGTAGATGTAGCACTTAAATGGTCTTCCTAGATGTGGAACCAATATTTCCCAAAGACCCATAATATCTCAGAAGTGGCAAAAGATTAACATTTATTATTTGTTTTTGACTGAAACACACCTATATGAGATACAGCCATTTGACTATATTCTTCAACGAAATCAGCGTTAACGAAATAGTCAGAAGTGCGTCTTTCCTGTATTTATGAATTGTGAATGGACATTTTCGTATTTTGTCTATAAAAGTTGGCAAACTCCTTCACACATTGAATATTTTTGGATGGCCATCTAAAACTGCTTGGCTTTGCAATGTCCGGTAAATGTGCGTGAGGACCGGGCGATAATTTCGACCTGCTGACAATTTTGCAGTTTTTGGTCCATTTCAACCCCTAAATATACGGCGATCATCTCCAAAAAGAGTAGGCTTCTATTCTGACCCCCATCTTATACCCATGCAAAATTACGTAAGGATCGGGCCATAAATGCGATCTGTATATGATATCCTGACTACTTAGTTTTGTTAGCTGTAGAAATATTACCAAATGTTTAATTCAAAATGAAAATATGCCAAAAATGTGACAAAATTGACAAAAATATGAGAAAATTTTACAAAATCAATATTTTCATCAGAGAGATATTTTTTTGCGATTTTTTAGACGTTTTTTCTTTCCTGCCAAGAGGCCATTCTGAATTAATAAGAACTGTCGAAATCAGTTCAGCCGTTCTCGACATATAAGAGATCTTTCAAGCATACCTTCTTTGATAGACATATATATCGCACATATTTTGCTATATATCCGATTTGTTGGATGTTAACATCAATGTAAAGATCAGAAGTAACCTTGTCATGGCTTTGTGATTTCGCCGGGATTTAAAATATTTGCGGTTTAATGAAAAATTTTGAATTTTTCAACACAAAATATATGGTCTATTTTACCCGCTAAATATTATCCGATGACCACCCAAATTGGCTTCTTCCTCGCCCAAAACTCTAGCTACATGCGTCCGCGTCGATTGGTCTATAATTGCGACCTGTATAGCTACTGCAAAATCCGACATTTTTTCAGTATTTGGTCCATTTCAACCCCTAAACATTTGGCGATCATCTCCAAAAGAAATAGGGTTCTATTCTGACATTAACCCCACCTACATTTTAAATTTCGTGAAGATCGGGCCATAATTGCGACCTGTAGAGTGATTACAAATTAACATGGACAGACGGACAGACGGACGGACGGACATACATAGCTAGATCGACTCAGCTCGGCGAAATAGGAAGATCCATATATACTTTCCTATGTGGGAAATCAATATTTCGTGGTGTTACATAATTTTTGGCCCAATCAAACTTATAATACCCCCAACACATAGTGTTGTAGGGTATAAATAAATAAAAATGTTACTAAAAAGTGATATTTGTCAATATAAATAATACGCAAAAATCCAGGTTCATTGGTCTAATGTTACTCAAAAAATATTCTTTTAAAAACTATTCTTTTTTATCGGATGGCCCTGGAAGATTTTTTTAGAAATTCCCGTAATCCTTGAAAAAATTATTGAAAATTTACTTTTATTATTCGGTTGATCCCTGAAAAATTCAATACAAAATAGCATATTCTTTAAAATCCGTTTATAAGTCCTCGGGGACTCCTAGTGAGAGTCCTTAAAAATCATTAACAAATTCCTTGAAAAGTATTCCACGTTTATTGGTCCTCTGGGACTTCCCTTGAGAGTCCTTATAAAATCATTAAAAGATTCCTTGAAATATATTCATTAAAAATCCACGTTTGTTGGTCCAAGGAGACTCTCCGTGGAAGTCCTTAAAAATCATTAAAAGATTCCTTGAAAAATAATCTTTAAAAATCCACGTTTATTGGGCTTTGAAGACTCCCCGTGAGTGTCCTTAAAAAATTCATAAAAAAATCCTTTAAAAAATATAATTTTTAAAAATCGACGTTTATTGGAAAAATCACGTTTTTTAGTCAAATGATCATTGAAAAATTTAATTAAAAATCCGCGTTTATTGGTCGGATTATCCTTAAAAAATTCATTAAAAATCCTTGAAAAATATTCTTGAAAAAAAATTCAGTAAAAAATCCACGCTTATTTGTCTGAGAGTCCTTGAAAAAGTTCAGTGAAATATCCAATAATCGACGTTTATTAGTCTAAAAGTCCTTCAAAATATTCTTTTAAAATCCACATTTATTAGTCCAAGAGTCCTTAAACAAATATTCTGTAAAACTCCACGTTTATTTGTTCGAGAGTCCTTGAAAAATATTTATTAAAAATCGACGTTTATTGTTTTGAATCCTGAAAAGTTTTGAGAGTCCTTGAAAAACTGTTTTTTTAAATCACCGTTTATTGGTAGAATCATGGAAAGTTTTGAGAGTCCTTAAAAACTATTCATTTATTGGTCTAAAAATATTGGAAAGTTTTGAAAGTTCTCGAGAAACTTTATTTAAAATTCCACATTTATTGATCTAAAAATCCTGAACAAATTTGAGAGTCCACGTTTATGATCTAAGAATCCTGAAAAAAATCCTAGAAAGTTTTTAGAGTCCTTGAAAAACTATTCCTTAAAAACCCACGTTTATGATCTAAGAATCCTGAAAAAAATCCTGGAAAGTTTTTAGAGTCCTTGAAAATCTATTCCTTAAAAATCCACGTTTATTGATCTAAGAATACTGGAAAGTTTTGAGAGTCCACGTTTATTGGTCTATCAATCCTGGAAAGTTTTTAGAGTCCTTGAAAAACTATTCTTTAAAAATCCACGCTTATTGATCTAAGAATCCTGGAGTTTTGAGAGTCCACGTTTATTGGTCTAAGAATCCTGGAAAGTTTTTAGAGTCCTTGAAAAACTATTCCTTAAAAATCCACGCTTATTGATCTAAGAATCCTGGAAAGTTTTTAGAGTCCTTGAAAAACTATTCCTTAAAAATCCACGTTTATTGATCTAAGAATCCTGGAAAGTTTTGAGAGTCCACGTTTATTGGTCTAAGAATCCTGGAAAGTTTTAAGAGTTCTTAAAAAACTAGTCTTTGAAAATCCACGTTTATTGGTCTATCAATCCAGGAAAGTTTTTAGGGTCCTTGAAAAACTATTATTTAAAAATCCACGTTTATTGGTCTATCAATCCTGGAAAGTTTTAGAGTTCTTGAAAAACTATTCTTTAAAAATCCACGTTTATTGGTTTAAGAATCCTGGAGAGTTTTGAGAGTCCTTGAAGAACTATTCTTTTAAAAATACACGTTTATTGGTCTAAGAATCCTGGAGAGTTTTGAGAGTCCTTGAAAAACTATTCTGTAAATATCCACGTTTATTGGTCTAAGAATCCTGGAAAGGTTTGAGAGTCCTTGAAAAACTATTCTTTAAATATCCACGTTTATTGGTCTAAGTATCCTGGAAAGTTTTGAGAGTCCTTGAAAAACTATTCTCTAAAAATCCACGTTTATTGGTCTAAGAATCCTGGAGAGTTTTGAGAGTCCTTGAAGGACTATTCTTTTAAAAATACACGTTTATTGGTCTAAGAATCCTGGAGAGTTTTGAGAGTCCTTGAAAAACTATTCTGTAAATATCCACGTTTATTGGTCTAAGAATCCTGGAAAGGTTTGAGAGTCCTTGAAAAACTATTCTTTAAATATCCACGTTTATTGGTCTAAGAATCCTGGAAAGTTTTGAGAGTCCTTGAAAAACTATTCTTTAAATATTCATGTTTATTGGTCTAAGAATCCTGGAAAGTTTTGAGAGTCCTTGAAGAACTTTTCTTTAAAATTCCACGTTTATTGGTCTAAGAGTCCTGGAAAGTTTTGAGAGTCCTTTTTAAAATCCAAGTTTATTGGTCTGAGAATACCTGAAAAAAATTCCTTAAAAATTCACGCTTTTTTCTCTGAGAGTCCTTGAAGAAGTACTCTTTAAGTCCACGTGTATTGGTTGGATGGTCTTTGAAAAATATTCGTCAAAATCTAAACTTGTATCTATGGGTTCTTCAAAAAATATTTTTAAAAATAAATTTGAAAAATATATTATTTAAAAATTCAACTTTAAGTCTCTTGTGCTCCTTGAAAATCGAATCCATAGAAATTCATGGCCGTCTACGAGTCCTTTGAAATGTAATCCTTAAAATCTTTAATTATAATTCTTTTAGTCCTTAACGTTTATTGATTGAATGACTCTACATTTATACCTTTGGGTCCTTCAAAAAATATTCTTTTAAATGACTTTTGGGATCCTAGAAAAAATATTCTTTAAAAAGGCCAACTTTATGTCTCTTGTGGTCATTGGAAATCTATAATCTATCTATAATCTGTAATTGTGATTCTTTTGGTCCTTAAAATCCACCCCTTTTACTAATTTTGGTCCTTGAGAATATGTTTCTTAAAATTGACTCTTTAAAAAAAAAATATATTTCTGAAAAAACATGCCTATAAAGTCCACTCCTGGTAGGGTCCTTCAAAATGTAGTCCTTAAAATCCAACGTTATGGTCTTAAAAGGTCCTGGAGAGTCTATACCGGGATTACATAAATTTTATATTAATTTTACATAAAAGACAATAAACAAAGATTCAAAAACTAGTACCACAGATCTGTTTACGCTACACCCACTCCATAGCTTGCACTATGGATATCGGTGTTTTCTTTTAAGTTCATCATTGCGTCAATTTTTCGTAGTATTCTTAGACTTTCAATCAGTAATCGCTTTGTATAATATATTTTTTTGCGGTCGTTTGTTTTCCCTTTTCCTATGTCCTGTTTCTGTTCTCCCATTCGAATATTTATTATTTCTATTTGTTTTTTCTTCTCCAAATTTAGGGCTTCCACAAGCGATGTGAGCCGGATGTTGAAATCATTGATTTGCGACCGTATCGTGACCTGATACTACACGAACACAACAATCGTAGAAATTTCGTAGCTCAGGGACTATTGCCGGGTTATTATCCTGCAGCGCGTATGGCCACTCTTCAATGGGATGACGAATTGGAATTTTTGGCTGAACTAAATGTTCGCACCTGTGTTGTAGATCATGATGAATGCCGGAACAGTTATCGTTTCCAGAATATTGGACAAAATCTTGTGGGCATAGCCCACTACAAGCATGAACCACAAAATATTACAGCCATTCTATTGAAGGATATATTTTTATGGTATACGGAACACAAGATAATCGATAGCAGTTTTATAACTTCATTTAAGGTTACCAGAGATTTGTAAGTATTTTCGAATGATATTTTGGAAACGGAAGAATAATTACAAATGTTTCAAAATGTTTGCAGCGAAAAATATGGTCACTTTGCAGAGTTTGTCTTGGAGCGTAACACCCATGTTGGTTGTTCCATGATCCGTTACACCTACCCGAAAAATAGAGATCTGTATATATATAACTTGGCTTGCGACTATGCCAGTGTCTATGCCTATGATGCGCCGGTGTATGCTGCTGGAAAACCCGGTTCGGGCTGTAAAACAGGAACCAATCGCAAATATCCCTCTTTGTGTTCCACCCGGGAAGTTTATAATCCCAACTATTAGATTGAATTTGATTCGTAACAATTTATAATAGTGTTATTTTGTAATTTTTGAAAATGTTCACATTGAATGTTTGAAAATACCAATTAAGAGCAAAATAAAAGACTGTTTGTTGTATATAGTGAATTAGATGCGTTTTACTCAATTATTAGGATTCAGTGATTTAAGATTTTGTTATAAATATTTTGTGAAGTGCTGAATGACTAATCAGGACCATAGTATAGGTCGAGTTTTTGAAAAGTGGGCTAAAATTATGTATTCATTGTGTTCAATTCTTGAACATGAATTTACTGCCCAGCGCCTAAATCGCACCAAAAGTATGTTCCATAATTCCATAATTCTCTGATCGTTTAAAAATTCGATTATTTAACCTTATTTCACCGTTTCGTTGAGAATATCCAACAGCTTCCACATTAGGTATTCCAATCTTTTGGGTTATCTCGCTTTGCTGTTGCCACATTTAAGTATCTTTTAGTCATGTCTCTCATTATTTCTCGGAAAGCCAGCCGTCTTCTATGATATTTTTATATGATAACCTTAACCATATGGCTATCATTTGATACGGCCGAAACGTGATTCATCGAAAAAACGGTTTCAGGACATTTGGACCTGATGCTAATTTCGGATTTTATAATCGTTTTGGTTATTCATAACTTTGACCCTTTGTTGGACAGGTACAAGAAGGAATGGTTCCAAGTCTGAATGGTATCAGAACCTTCGCGTTTATGAGCTTCATGGATATTCAAAATGTTGACCCTTTGTGGGGGAGGTACCGGAAGGATTGGATCGATATATTCCATTTTCACACCAGACCTTGGCTTAATAAAAATATTGTGATGTGTGTAATTCGAAGACAATTGAACTTTGACTTCACTTTTGATAAGAGTTATTATTATTCAAAATGTTGACCCTTTGTGGGTGAGGTACTTGATAGAATGGACCGATATTGTCCATTTTCGCACCTAACTTAGCACTGAGGTAAATTTTTATAATTATAAAGTCGGACTATCCTTTTTCTTGCTGTGCAGTAAAATATTTTCTTTGAAAAGTTCGACCTTGAGAGGGAGGTACTTGATGGATTGGACCGATATTGACCATCTCCGAATTTTGTATGATAATAATATTACGATGTACCAAGTTTGGACCAGCCAGCCAGATATGTCCTGAAACGGATTTGGTCCAAAGGGACCTAGGCTCTAAAACTGTTATTTCGATTAGGCACGTTGTGGCCGCATTAAATTATATATACCCTCTCTAGCCATATGACTGAGAAACAGAGTCGGATTCTCACAACATTTTGAATAATCATGAAGCTCATAAAACGCAAAATGAGCATCCAATCCCACTCAATCTCGGCACATCCCAATATTTCTATCAACACAAGGTCTGTTGTGAAGATGATATATATAGAAAGCTAATATTGTTGCACACATGTTTATTTTGCCAGTAGCAGGCTAAGTTCGTAAATGGGCCATGTAGGTTCACGTTTTCATATAGCCCCTATATAACGGTACCTCCCGATATTCGGAATTTTGATTATTTTGACGAAATTATTCACTGGAAGTCTTTCAAATTTGGTATTTGAAGTTCAAAATGGATACCATCGCATCAGACAGAAAATTGTCTGTGTAGGTCAACGTCTTCGTATAGCTCCCATATAACGGTATCTCCCTATATTCGGTATTTTGATCATTTTGGCAACATTATTCACGGGAATGGTTTCAAATTTGGTACTTGAAGTTCGTAATGGATACTACAGCCTGTGACAGAAAATTGTCTATGCAGGTCCAGGTCTTCATATAGCCCCCATATAACGGGACCTCCCAATATTTGGCATTTTGATGATTTTAGCGTCATTATTCACCAGAATTGTTTCAAATTACGTATTTAGAGTTCGTTATGAGAATCACAGTCTGTGACAGAAAATTGTCTATGTGAGTCCAGGTCTTCATATAGGCCCCATATATCGGTACCTCCCTATATTCGGTATTTTGTCGATTTTAGGTACAATACTCACCGAAATTGTTTGAGATATCGTATTTGAAGTTGGTAATGGAAGCTACAGCTTGTGACAAAAAATTGTCTATGCAGGTCCATGTCTTCGTATCGCTCCGATAAAACGGTACCTCCCTATATACGGTATTTTGATGATTTTAGCTACATTATTCACCGTTTATTTCAAGTTTCGAATTTGAATATGGTAATGGCTTGTGACAAACAATGCATATGTAGGTGCACGTCGTACAGACCCTAATATAACGGCTATATTCGGTAATTTTAAGATATTAACAGAATTTTTTTGCGAATGTTATCTTTTTCGAAAATTCCCAAAATTGTTCTAAATGGTGGAGGCCCGGCCGAAATTACTGTATTTTAACTTATTTTAATTCATTGCGAGCTCCCCATAGGATTTTTATGATTTTCCCTACTTTGTCATTGTTTCATAGGGATATGTGGGCGTTTTTATTAGTCCATGTTTTAACTCTCTTGACGCATTTAGCGGCATTGGATTGTCCAAGTTTACTGTTGCTAATTCCCTGCCTGTTTTGTACAAAAGAAAATATTGGTGTTTTATTAAAAAAAAAAAAAAAAAAACAAGTAAAAAAACATTAAGTTTGGCCGGGCCAAACTTTTAATACCCTCCACCTCAGGGTAAAGAAAATTAGAGCCTATATACAAAATTTTAGACATATTCATGGGAAAATGTGCCAAAACTCATCAAATACCGAATATCGGGAAATTCGGCTATATGGGGCTATACAAAAACGTGGACCTATACATACAGTGTTTCGCCAAAAGAGCTAGAACCCATTAAGACCTACAAATACCAATTTCTAGACAAATCCGCGAAGAAATGTGGTAAAAACCATTACAAAATACCGAATGTCGGGAGGTACCGTTATATGGGGGCTATACCAAATCGGAGACCTATAAATGCAATGTTTCGCCAAAGGAGCTGCAACCCATTATAACCTACAAATACAAATTTTCAGATAAATCCGTGAAAAAAATGTGGCAAAAATAATCAAAATACCGATTATCGGGAGGTACCCTTATATGGGGACTATACCAAAGCGTGGACTTATACATGAACTAGGACCCGTTATGACCTACAAATACCAATTTTCAGACAAATCCTATAAATTGTGACATAAATCATCAAAATACCGAATATCGGGAGGTACCGTTATATGGGGACTATACCAAAACGTGGACCTTTACATACAATGTTTCGCCACACGAACTAGGACCCATTATGACCTACAAATACCAATTTTCAGACAAATCCGTGAAAATTGTGGCATAAATCATCAAAATACCGAATATCGGGAGGTACCATTATATGGGAACTGGACCGATATATCTCATTTTCAATAAGAATTTTAGTTTTATTTAATTCTTTGGTTCCTCTTCTATTACAATTGCTTCCAATGAGAGCAGAGTCTCGTAGGTATCAAAGTCAGCTAACCAACAATAACCACCGCCCGGTGGGCTTTTGCGCTCTACGATCTCCAGCGAGGGAAGTTGCCGAGGAGATGCCCGTGGCGTGAATCAGCATCTATGATTGTCTGGACTCAGGAAGTTGAAGGCCAACTTATACACTCCCAATTTCTAGATACAATGGGATGCTATCAAGATAAGTAGTTTTGTTTATAGGAGCTCATATATAAAAATACACACATAACTTGGTGCACTACGTCATCCATATGTTATTTTGTTTTTATTTTGTGATCTTCTTAAGATTAATTACAAAACATTCTTAACATTATTCTTACATTAAACAAAAAAATGTAACTTAAAATAATATTACAATATTTAAAAAGTAAACACATAGCTCTAAACTACAAATCTCATCTCCTATTCAATAAAATCAACAAAATTTCAATAGTTTGGATCGAAAAATTCATTGACTGAACACAAGGCAGGAAAACGTGGATTAACACCGGTTATGCAGCCGCTACCCGGACGACCTACATTATAGAGTGGCGTATCCAATGCATACACTGAGGCATAATTACACACAACATGATAGACATGGACATGGGGATAATCCGGTCGGGTGTATTGTATAATGGCACAGCCAAGACGAATATTTCGATCGACAATCATTTCGGTAAAGTGGCCATAGTTTTCACTGCAAATAAAAAGAAAAGAATCCCAATATTAAAATTAACTGGAAGTGCGGAGGATGGAATCATTTAATATACTTACAAATGATGTGAAACACGAAATGCCGTGACATATGAACTATCCACCAAATGATGCTCATGATCGAACCACAACTGTATAGTTTGATCTATTAGATTGGTAACATTCAATGGAGCCTCTTTTGAACGAGAAATGGCGCAAAGATTTTGCCCACAATTCTTAAAACGGTAGGTATGATAGCAATCATCGTGATCTAAAATGCAGGTGCGTGCATTCAAGCCGGCCAAGTACTGGAGTTCTTCATCCCATATCTGGAAAAAAGCGACAGATGTGTTATTTGTTATCAATATATCGTTCTAGGTGAGCCACTCTTATATTTATTAGCTGTCATGGTTGAAGAATACAGGTAGATGCATTAATGCTTGGGAGCATTGATATTTCACATTTTTTTAATTTTTTTTTTCAAAAATAAGTAGATTTATTTAGATGCGACTACCAGTATTCTTCTACCATGTTAGCTGTTAAGTAAATCAGCTGTTTAACATATATAATTTTAACTATTGTTATTAATTTTACACCCCCCACCATAGTGTGGAGGGTATATTAAGTTTGTCATTCCGTTTGTAACACCTCGAAATATACATTTTAGACTCCAGCATAAAATTCTATGTCGACTAAGCAATGCCCGTCCGTCTGTGGAAATCACTCTAGCTTCCGAACGAAATGAAGTAGGTTGATAAAATTTTACTCAGATGTGTATTATGTCTGCAGGACTTTTGGTATTGAAAATGTGCCATGGAGGTCCACGTTTTGGTATAGCCCCCATATAATGGTACCTATTTTAGGTATTTTGGTGATTTAAGCGACATTATTCACCGGAATTGTTTCAAAATTGGTATTTGAAGTTTGTAATGGATACTACAGCCAAAGACAGAAAACTGTTTGTGCAGGTCCACGTCTTCGTATAGCCCCCATATAACGATATCTCCCGATATGCGGTATTTTGATGATTTTCGCGACATTATTCACCGGAATTGTTTCAAAATTAGTATTTAAAGTTCGAAATGGATACTACACCCTAAGACAGAAAATTGTTTGTGCAGGTCCACGTCTTCTTATAGCCCCCATATAAGGGTACCTCCCAGAACTCGGTATTTTGATGATTTTAGCGATATTATTCGACGGAATTGTTTCAAAATTTGGTATTTGAAGTTCGTAATAGATACTACAGCATAAAACAGAAAATGGACCATGTAGGTCCACGTCTTCGTATAGCCCTCATATAACGGTATCTCCCGATATGCGGAATTTTGATGATTTTAGCGACATTATTTACCGGAATTGGTTCAAAATTAGTATTTAAAGTTCGTAATGGATACTACAGGCTATGACAGAAAATTGTCTGTGCAGGTCCGGTACTCCCCGATATTCGGTATTTTGATGATTTTAGCGATATTATTTACCGGAATTGTTTCAAATTTGGTATTTGAAGTTCGCAATGGTCACTACAGCCTATGACAGAGAATTGTCTGTGCAGGTCCACGTTTTATAACCCCCATGGTACCTCCCTCTATCGTATAGACCCCAATATAAAATTTTAAGAATTTATTATTTATATTTTTAAGAATTTTATTTTATTGAAAATTGTTAAACATGTACCAAATGGTGGAGGGTATTCAAAGTTCGGCCCGGTCGAACTTACAGCTTTTTTACTTGTTTGTTTTGTTTTTCTCGTTGCTTCAGTTTATTATTCATAATACCACATTGTTTAGTTTTCACAGATGAATAATTTTTGTTTGACGAAAAAAGCGATTTCGCAACACTTTGTTAACAATTGACTGCGTCAATTGAGATCCGATTCCGCTAAATAATGTTGCTCATATAATCTTCAAAATACCGACTATCGGGAGGTAGCGTTATATAGGGGCTGTACGAAAACGTGGACCGACATGACTCATTTACGAACTTAACCTGCCTGCTTGTAAACCTTCTCTTAACCTGCTTACTTGTAAACCTTCTTCTATTATGAATATTTCGAGGAGTTTCAAACGGAATGACAAAGCTAATATACCCTCCAATGGGGGGAGGGCACAAAAATGGAAACAAAATGTATCAAGAAATATAAATCTTGATATTATAGACCCATTGTTACTTTTCAGGATCTTCAGATCTTAGAATCACTTTCTGAGTCGATTTATGCATGTCAGTCCGTCCATCCGTATGTTCATGTATTCTTTTGAACAAAATGCAGGTCGCATTTATTATTATCCGATTGAAATGAAATTTTGCAAGCCATATTTGTTTGGCCAAGGACGAACCCTATTGAAATTGATGATATTCGGATCCGATTTAGATATAGCTCCCATATGTCTTCAACCAATTGCGGGTATTTGGTGCACCAAATGGCCAATATCAGTCCAAATGACATGCATTTTCAGTTGAATTCGAATTCAGTTGACGTTTAAGTTCCTCACATTCGTAATATGCATTCGACAACAATGATATTTGGTACCAGATTTCTTATAGAGCTCAGAAATACATTTGCCAAATTTTATTGAGATCGGCTTAAATTTGGATATAGTTTCCATATATAATCCTAATCCAATTTCCGGTTTATTGTGCCATTATTTGGCTAATATCAGTCTAAATGGAGCGAATTTCCATTTTGTGGAACTCGGCTCCGATACTCATTTTTCTATATAATCCTTCTCGAAGCCTCCCATATATTCGTTCTTCGGGAACCAACTTATAACAGTTCTAAAGTCAAATGTTGATAGGAGGTATGATCTACATTAAATAAATTATTTTGTTATGGGAGCTCTACTAAATATGCATAGTGGGGTGGGGTGGGGTATCATATACTCGGCCCGCCCGACTTTTGACTTTCCTTACTGGTTTACTTGTTGTTTTTTTCTATTTCCAATTCTATTTTTTTCCTTCCACGCAGGATGATCACAAAGGACCGAAAGATTTCCGAGTGAAGTTGTACCATTCGGTAGGAGGATTTTAAAGGCATTTCCCAACGAAATTTCATGAAATTTGGAGCTTGTAATGGCGGAAAGTGGTTAATATAGGACCATTGTTCATTATAAACTTCAAATAATGGCGCCATTCCATGTTTGGTATTTTGACGATTAAATGACAATTTTTAAATAAATTGTTTGAAATTTGGTATTTTTGCAGAAGATTATCCACAGAGATCCAATTTATCGTATAGCCCCATGTATCGATAGCACCCGATATTGGGTATTTATATATTATATATTTCTAAAGGATTCAATTCCGCCATGGTGGTGGAATTCAAAAATTCTGGCCGGCCGAATTAACGTCATTTTTACTTGTCGACAGAGTAATTTTTAAAAAATAGTACTTCAAAATTATTTTCAAAAATGTTGATGTTTTCTTGATAATGATCCAATCCGCCTTAATTCAAAACCATTTTAGATATTTTCAAACAAACACTCTTCTTCTTGACACCTCATCCGGCAAATTAATCAAATTGCACATTAGTGGCTATTTCAATTACGTTGCAATAATGACAATGCAGTCTTTGTTTACAATAAATCTCTTTTGCATCGATGTTATGCTGGAAATCTATGGATCGATGCTATGGCTATGCTAATCACTGACTAATCATCGCCATATGTGGCTACAAAAAAAAAAAAAAAAAAAAAACACACACAAGTAAAAAAACTGTAAGTTCGGTCGGGCCGAACTTTGAATACCCTCCACCATTTGGAACGAATTTGGCAATTCTCAAAAACAATAAAATCCGTTAAAAGTTCTGTTAAAATCTTAAAAATACCGTATGTAGCTGTTATATTAGGACAACATGTATAGGTAACTTTTGTCATAAGCCATTACAATATTAAAATGCGAAACTTAAAAAAATCGGTTAATAATGTAGCTAAAATCATCAAAATACCGGATATCGGGAGGTACTGTTATATGGAGGCTATACGAAGACGAGGACCTGCACAGACAGTCTCCTGTCATAGACTGTGGTATGCATTAGGAATTTCAAATGCCAAATTTGGAACAATTTCGGTAAAAAATGTCGCTGAAATCATCAAAATACCGAATATTGGGAGGTACCGTTATATGGGAGCTATACGAAGACGAGGACCTGCACAGAAAATCTCCCGTCATAGATTGTGGTATTCATTAGGAATTTCAAATGCCAAATTTGAAAAAATTCCGATGAATAATGTCGATAAAATCATCAAAATACCGAATAGCAGGAGGTGCCGTTATATGGGAGCTATACGAAGACCTGGAACTGCATAGACAATTTTCTGTCTTAGGCTGTAGCATCCATTTCGAACTTTAAGTACCAAATTTGAAAGAATTCCGTTGAATAATGCCGCTAAAATCAACAAAGTACCGAATATCGGGAGGTACCGTTATATGGGTGCTATACGAAGCCGTGGACCTGCACAGACAATTTTCTGTCTTAGGCTGTAGTATCCATTTCGAACTTCAAATAGCAAATTTGAAACAATTCCGGTGAAAATGACGCTAAAATCATCTAAATACCGAATATCGAGAGGTACCGTTATATGGGGGTAATACCAAAACGTTGACCTACATGGCTCATTTTTAATACTAAAAGTCCTGCAGATATAATTTTGAGTAAAATGTTATTAATCTACTTCATTTTCTGCTGATCAAGATTATATATACTTTGTGGCGTCTAAAATGTATAATTCGAGGTGTTACAAACGGAATGACAAACTTAATATATCCTCCATACTATGTTGGAGGGTATAAAAATATGGGTGGAACTGGCAACATGAAAGCGCTGGCATGATTTGTGATCTGCTGGTTTTAATGTTCCACGACGACAAATTAATCGCTTGTCATTTCCGCCACCCATTGTATGGTTGTTGCTGTTGTTGTTGCATTTTTAATCATTTGTCATAAATTATTTATTTGTCTGAACTGTGATGAACTTTTTTTTGCGAAAAAAAAGAAGAAGAAACATAAACAAAATAAAATATTCTCAGTGTTGTGTGAAAGTGAAACAAAATGCAGGACAGAAACGTGGGTGGAATTAGGAGATAATAGGTATCATAATTCTGCTTTCTAATTACCATTTTTTATTAAGTTAATTCTAAAATGTTTTATTTCTAAAATATTGCAGTTGTGTCAAGATTTGCAGTCTCCGCTCAAAAATAAATTCAAGCTACGTTTATATCTGCTTCATGCATGGGAGCATGCGCAAATGTAATGAGTGTTTGTACAGCCATTCATTTTGTTGGAAAAAACAAATGAGAAGCTCTAACGATAAACAAATCATATAATTAAGATG